ACCCACAACACTCCATCACCACAAAACTACACCACCACCACCACCACCACTTAAACTCTTAATGACCACTCAACCCTACCAGACACCACCAACCACAGCAGCTGGAATACAGACACAGGAATCAATATCAGCTTAACACATTACAGGGAAGGTTTACTTAGTGTTGAAGCTTTAAATAGATGGAAATAAAAGCTTAATAGGGCGTATTAGCGTAGATACATCAGGATCCACAACTGAAAAGACTGATTTATTGTGGTGAATATTTTTAATACATTTTTTTTAATATGTTAGTTTATCGATATAATAACTCGTACTTAGTAATTTAGCTTAATAAGGCTGGTTGAGAGAGAGAGAGAGAGAGAGAGAGAGAGAGAGAGAGAGAGAGAGAGAGAGAGAGTCATTCAGTAAAAACCACTCTTGTCTTTCCACAGTCGTACAATAAACGTTCATATTCACACACAATAAAACAGGTTAATGTTTTCATATATATTTTACCTGAACACTCGTAAGCCCTTTGGTCATTTGTGAGTGTATGGAATATTTTCAGGAACGAATACCACCACTTCAACCTTTGTAGTAAATTGTAAAACTAAAAAAATAATAATTATACTTCAACTTTTTATTAAATTGTAAAACTAAAAAAATAATAATTATACTTCAACTTTTTATTAAATTGTAAAACTAAAAAAAAATAATTATACTTCAACTTTTTATTGAATTGTAAAACTAAAAAAAATAATTATACTTCAAATTTTTATTAAATTGTAAAGTTAAAAAATAATTATGATATTCTAAAGTGTTTTGGGGAAGAGTAGAGATAATATATGAATAATTTACAAGTTAATAATTGAAGGTTTGTGTTAATACATAAATAATAATATGTATACTATATATGTATCAGAGAGTTGATACTATTGATAATGAGACGGGTGGTGTTATGTGATATCTGTCTATCTGTCTGTCTGTCTGTCTGTCTATCTATCTGTCTGTCTGTCTGTCTGTCTATCTGTCTGTCTGTCTGTCTGTCTGTGTCTGTATATTAGATCTTTTGAACGTAATAAATCCTTTGTTGTATATTAATTAAACTTATCAGCACTATTCAACAAAGGTTAATTTGTTAGATAATTAGTCCTTGACCTTGTTTGACCTTATGAGAGCTTGTAGGTCAGGTCAGGGCTTAAGGTAATTAGTTACGACGTGTTTTTATTAATGAGGGAGGACGTGGAGTGAGGGAGGAAGATGGGTGAGGGAGGGGGGTGGGTGACGGAGGGAGGTGGGTGACGGAGGGAGGTGGATGAGAGAGGAAGATGGATGGGACAGGAAGATGGATGAGGGAGGAAGGTGGGTGAGAAAGGTAGATGGATGGGGAGGAAGGTTGGTGAGAAAGGTAGATGGATGAGGGAGAGGTGGGTGAGAGGAAGATGGATGAGAGAGGAAGATGGGTGAAAGGTAGATGGATGAGGGAGGAAGGTGGGTGAGAGAGGAAGATGGATGAGAGAGGTAGTTGGATGAGGGAGGCAGATGGATGAGGAAGGTGGGTGAGAGAGGAAGATGGATGAGAGAGGTAGTTGGATGAGAGAGGTAGTTGGATGAGAGAGGTAGTTGGATGAGGGAGGCAGATGGATGAGGGAGGCAGGTGAGTGGGAAACCGTGGGAACCAACACCTGTACTCATCAAGGCCTCCACTATCAGGTAACCCTCCCACCCACACTCTCCTCCCACCCTCACTCCCTCACCAGCACCACCACCTCCCTCCTCACTCCCTCACCAGCACCACCACCTCCTTCCTCCTCCCTCACCAGCACCACCCACCTCCCTCCTCACTCCCTCACCAGCACCACCACCTCCCTCCTCACTCCCTCACCAGCACCACCACCTCCCTCCTCACTCCCTCACCAGCACCACCACCTCCCTCCTCACTCCCTCACCAGCACCACCACCTCCCTCCTCACTCCCTCACCAGCACCACCACCTCCTTCCTCACTCCCTCACCAGCACCACCACCTCCCTCCCACTCCCTCACCAGCACCACCACCTCCCTCCTCACTCCCTCACCAGCACCACCACCTCCCTCCTCACTCCCTCACCAGCACCACCACCTCCCTCCTCACTCCCTCACCAGCACCACCACCTCCCTCCTCACTCCCTCACCAGCACCACCACCTCCTTCCTCACTCCCTCACCAGCACCACCACCTCCCTCCTCACTCCCTCACCAGCACCACCACCTCCCTCATCTACGACATACCACCATACACATCTATACATAGAATAAAATACATTACATCACTAACTATTCAAAAAGGGAGACAGAGCATCAGCGTCAAATTACCGGCCGATCAGTTTGACGTCAGTAGTGGGGAAATTTCTTGAATCAATTATAGCAGATAGCATCCGATCGCATCTAGAGAAAAGCAAATTAATCTACGACTCTCAACATGGGTTTACAAAGGGAAAATCTTGTCCAACAAATCTGCTGAGGGTTTTTAGGAAAGTCTTCGAGGTAGTAGATAATGACGAAAATTACGATGTTATTTACTTAGACTTTAGCAAAGCATTTGACAGAGTACCGCATCAGAGGCTTCTGAGAAAAGTTAAGGCTCGTGGTATCGAGGGGAAAGTTTTAAATTGGGTAAAATCATGGCTCACCGATAGAACGCAGAGGGTCAGCGTAGATTGTGTTAAATCTGAGTGGGGCCGTGTAACCAGTGGGGTTCCCCAGGGGTCAGTACTAGGCCCACTCTTGTTCATAAACTTCATAAACGATCTAGATACTGGGATCACCAGTGACATAAGCAAGTTTGCGGATGACACTAAAATAGGGCGGCAAATTAATTCAGAGCAGGATGCAAATGCATTACAGGAGGATCTAAATAAACTGCAGGGGTGGTCTGAAAAATGACAAATGAAATTCAACACCAGCAAGTGCAGCGTACTTAATATTGGAAGAACAAATACTTGTAATGTATACAGCCTTAACAACATCAACCTAGAGAAGTCGACTTGTGAAAGAGACCTAGGGGTACTTGTAAGCCCGGACCTACGGCCTAGAAAACAGTGCGTTAATGTTCGAAATAAGGCAAACAGAGTATTGGGTTTTATATCTAGAAGTGTAAGTAACAAGAGTGCAGCGGTCTTATTGCAACTATATCTTGCGCTAGTCGGCCACACCTCGATTATGCGGTTCAGTTCTGGTGCCCCTATTATAAAATGGATATAAATTCACTAGAGTCGGTGCAGCGAAGAATGACAAAAATGATTCCGGGACTTAGAAACCTTCCATATCAGGATAGGCTAAAGAAACTTAACTTGCATTCCCTAGAAGGACGAAGAGTGCGGGGAGATATGATAGAAGTATTTAAGTGGGTGAAAGGAATCAATAAAGGGGATATACTGTAGATAAAGTTCTTATAATATCCGAGCAGGATAGGACTCGGAGCAACGGATTCAAGTTGGATAAGTTTAGGTTTTGGAGGGAGATAGGAAGGAACTGGTTCACAAAGAGGGTGGTGGACGAGTGGAACAAGCTTATCAATTTTGTAGTAAATGCTGGAACGCTGGAAAGTTTCAAAAGGAGGCTAGATAGATTCATGGATGATAGAGAGTGGTAGTAACTCTCGGCAGGAGCTGCCATGCACAGGCCAACCGGCCTATTGCAGACTCCTTATTTTCTTATGTCTTATGTTAACTAGTATCATACAACAATACACTGCTCTACAATACAAGCCTCATTTATACACTACCTCACTATGCGAACTTATACAATGGAGCATAATACATCAGCACATAATACAATTCTATACTGTATTACTGTGATAAAAAACGTCAATTACTGCAATAAAATAATACAGTACTACAGTGAAATGGAAGGTTAGAGAGGACGTTACAGTATAATACAAAAGTGTCCACAGCCCCGTCTATTACAGGTGAGTGTATTTTGGTCACAGGAGATAGTGTGTGTTTTATGTAACGTGGGAAATATCCAAGGTAGTAAAAGTACACATGGGGTGATATTGTTTACTCGTGTGTGTGTGTGTGTGTGTGTGTGTGTGTGTGTGTGTGTGTGTGTGTGTGTGTGTGTGTGTGTGTGTGTGTATGTGTGTGTGTGTGTGTGTGTGTGTGTGTGTGTGTGTGTGTGTGTGTGTCACTCTCTGTTTCTGGTTTTTGTCTTTATGTATTCAATCTCTCTCTCTCTCTCTCTCTCTCTCTCTCTCTCTCTCGCTCTCTCTCTCTCTCTATAGCCCCACACTGGGAGAGGTGCTAAGCTCTTGACAACAACCTCCAGCCAAGTAGATAACATACTGAAACACCTTCACCTGTCACCAAAGCCAACAACAACACCGAAAATAACTACTCACATTTTTCATTTGTGGAGACCTGACCTGACTGACCTAGCTAACTGACACATAGCCTAAGCTAACCCCTAACTTAACATGGCTAACCCTAACCCTATGCCAAACCAGACACATAATACCTCAGTAACTTATAATGTGTAAGGCTGACTGTAGATGGCACACACACACACACACACACACACACACACACACACACACACACACACACACACACACACACACACACACACCTAACATTCTTGACACCGCTCAGTATGGTAACAGCCTGAGGAGTTAAACGTGTGGAAGGAGCTGAACTTAAGGTCAAAGTTTATCACCATGAGGGGGTCATGATACACACCCCCCCCCCCCACCGTGGTAAGAAGTTACAACAACAACAACAACAAAAGGTCAAATTGATGGACTTTTCATAATGCCAAGTGTCTGAAAAATGCTAAAATATTGGTGTAATTAATGTATGTATGTGTGTGTGTGTGTGTGTGTGTGTGTGTGTGTGTGTGTGTTTATACGTATCAGAGGTTAGGGTCTCGGAAAGTATCGTTCAGAAAGTTTGGTTTTGATGACGTCACAGGTGGAGGCAACAGAGGGAGGGGGGGGTCGGGTTCTGGAGGGTATAAAAGACAATGTGGGCGACACTAACCTACCATTACTTGATCAACACTCACAAGATGAACACCAACGTCCTTCTCCTCCCTCTCCTCTCCTGTTGTCTCTTGGTAGCTGCTGGTGAGTACAAATAGAACACAATAAATAATCCATTTCAGTAGATTAATTACAAACATACAATACAGTAGATACAAAATAATACAGTTGTCCTCATGCAAAAAACAGCTTCTATAAATATAAAATTCATATTATTTCTTAAGCTCAACAACTACACCGACTTACAGCTTCACTAAGAGATAAACTGAACGCGGTGTTTTTAACTTGTCAAAAAATAACCCTTTGTAATAATGGTAAAAGAATTCGTATAATATAGCCTGAAGATTCGCTCCACGTGAAAATTAGGTAAGGTTAGCTTAGGTTAGTTTAGCTTAGGTTGGGTTAGGTTAGGTTAGGTTAGCTTAGGTTAGTTTAGCTTAGGTTGGGTTAGGTTAGGTTAGGTTAGGTTAGGTTAGGTTAGCTTAGGTTAGTTTAGCTTAGGTTGGGTTAGGTTAGGTTAGGTTAGGTTAGTTTAGCTTAGGTTAGGTTAGATTAGATTAAATTAACACGAGGGTGGTTAACAATCACATAAAATAAACTCAGGTAGGTAGGTAATGGGGAGCTATAATCAACAGGTAAGCCAAGAATTCTTCACCTGTTGTGTACTAATAATTAATAACCCACAGATGTTACCAAGATCCAGGTGGAGCGTAACGTCACCACTGAACTCAAGCTGAACAATGGCATAGCATGGGGGGAGTGGGGGACAGTTGAGCTCTGTCCCTCAGGTAGCTACGCCCACGCCTTCGAGGTTAAGGTGAGGTTGTGTATGTGTCTTGGAGGGTGAGGTGAGGTTGGGTATGTGTCTTGGAGGGTGAGGTGAGGTTGGGTATGTGTCTTGGAGGGTGAGGTGAGGTTGGGTATGTGTCTTGGAGGGTGAGGTGAGGTTGTGTATGTGTCTTGGAGGGTGAGGTGAGGTTGTGTATGTGTCTTGGAAGGTGGGAGGTTGGGTATGTGTCTTGGGGGTGGTGAGGTTGGATATGTGTCTTGGAAAGGTGGGGTTGGGTATGTGTCTTGGAGGGTGAGGTGAGGTTGTGTGTGTGTCCTGGAGGGGTGAGGTGAGGTTGTGTGTGTGTGTCCTGGGTGTGAGGTGGGGTTGGGTATGTGTCTTGGAGGTGGTGAGGTTGTGTGTGTGTCCTGGAGGGTGAGGTGAGGTTGTGTGTGTGTCCTGGAGGGTGAGGTGAGGTTGTGTATGTCTTGGAGGGGTGAGGTGAGGTTGGTATGTGTGTCTTGGAAGGTGGGGTTGGTGTGTGTCTTGGAGGGTGGTGAGGTTGTGTATGTGTCTTGGAGGTGAGGTGAGTTGTGTATGTCTTGGAGGGTGAGGTGGGGTTGTGTATGTGTCTTGGAGGGTGAGGTGAGTTGTGTATGTGTCTTTGAGGGTGAGGGTGAGTTGTGTATGTGTCTTGGAGAGGTGAGGTGAGGTTGTGTATGTGTCTTGGAGGGTGAGGTGAGGTTGTGTATGTGTCTTGGAGGGTGAGTGAGGTTGTGTATGTGTGAAGGGTGAGGTGAGGTTGGGTATGTGTCTTGGAGGGTGAGGTGAGGTGTTTGTCTTTGAGGTTAAGATTAATTCAAACTCAATCTGATTTGAAGGTTTAGTTAAGTGAGTTAATACCTGATGTCCTCGAAGGCGAAGTCAATTTCACTCTAGTCTTTGTAATCCACTGTAACAAACCTCATCTATATATTGCTGTACCCACTGTAACAAAACCACCATGGCATAGAATATAAGACCAAAATTGACATAACCTGAGTCACTTATGTTTTAACCTGGGTAACCAAGGCCTAACCTGAGTCACCAAGCCCTAACCTGAGTCACCAAACCCTAACCTGAGTCACCAAGCCCCAACCTGAGTCACCAAGCCCCAACCTGAGTCACCAAGCCCCAACCTGAGTCACTTATGTTTTAACCTGAGTAACCAAGGCCTAACCTGAGTAACAAGGGCCTAACCTGGTCACCAAGCCCCAGCAACCTGAGTCACCAGCACAACTGGAGTCACCAAACCCTAACCTGAGTCACCAAGCCCCAGCCTGGTCACCAGGCCACAACACCTGAGTCTGCAAGCCCCAACCTGGGTCACCAGAGCCCCTAACACCAGGTCACCAAGCCCCAACCTGAGTCGCAAGCCCCTGGCACCCTGGTCACAAGCCCCAACCTGGAGTCACCAAACCCTAACCTGGTGCACCAAAGCCCCAACCTGAGTCACCAAGCCTAACCTGAGTCACCAAGCCCTAACCCTATGGAGTCACCAAGCTGACCCTGGAGTCACCAAGCCCCAACCTGGAGTCACCCAAGCCTAAACACAGGTCACCAAGCCCCAACCTGAGTCACCAAGCCCCAACCTGAGTCACCAAACCCTAACCTGAGTCACCAAGCCCCAACCTGAGTCACCAAGCCCCAACCTGAGTCACCAAACCCTAACCTGAGTCACCAAGCCCCAACATTTCTCCCACAGTTCCAGTCACCTGGGGGTACTGACGAGACAGCCCTTAACGCTGTCAAACTCTACTGTGCTACCGAGACGGAACATGACGTTGATTACGTGACCTCAGTAGTGGGCATAGAAGGACATTGGCAAGGTGTGTGTGTGTGTGTGTGTGTGTGTGTGTGTGTGTGACAGGTAGAGATAGAGAGAATGGCCAGGTAAGTGATGATGATGATGATGATGATGATGATAATGAGAGAGAGAGAGCCAACAGCAGCAGTCAATATACACACCAGACAATCTTTCAGGAGAAAAAAAATGCGATTATCTTTTCATTAAACTTCCAAAACTTTCGATTTTCATCAAATTCTAAAAAAAAAAAAAAAAAAAAAAGTTCTAAGACATAACATCACATACTTTAAGTACCTAAACCAATAATAAAACTACTTAAACAATCACTAAAAACCTTAAGACATGATAAGTAAGACTAAATACTTCCACCTTCACTACTACTACTTCTTCTGCTACTCCTACAGGTATGCGTGTCTGCAGTGACGGTTTCCTGACGGGTATGAGGGCAGAGGTGTTGGAGCCACAAGGTTTACTGCATGACGACGTAGCGGTAGAAAACGTACAGGTGCAGTGTGATTATGACGACAATGAAATCCTAGAGGGCGTCGAAAACCTACCTATGGTGAGTGGAGGAGGAGGGGTGGGCAGGTGGTGGGAGTAGTGGGGAAGTGGGGAGGAGGGGTGTGTGGTGAGAGTAGGAGGGGCGTGGTGAGGGAGGTGGTGGGTGGTGAGAGTAGGGTGAGGGCGGTGGAGGAGGGGTGGGTGGTGGGAGAGGAGGGAAGTGGGTGAGGAGGGGGGGGTGGAGAGAGAGGAGGGAAGTGGTGGAGGGAGGGGGGGGGGGGTGGGTGGTGAGAGTAGTGAAGGAAGTGGTGAGGAGGGGGGGTGGCAGAGAGAGTAGGAGGGAAGTGGTAAGGAGGGGTGTGTGGGTGGTGGGTAGTGAGGGCAAGAGGAGGGGGTAAGGGTGAGAGAGTAGTGAGGGAAGTGTGGTGAGGGAGGGGTGGGTGGGGAGAGGGAGGGAAGGGTGAGGAGGGGGGGCAGAGAGAGGGAGGGAAGTGGTAAAGGAGGGGGGTGGGTGGGAAGAGGAGAGGGGAGGGGTGGGGAGGGGGTAAGGGGAGAGGTGGGAGGGAAGTGGTGAGGAGGGGGTGGGGTGGTGGGAGAGTAGTGGGGAAGTGGTGGGAGAAGGGGTGGGTGGTGGGAGTAGGGGAGGGGAAGGGGTGAGGGAGGGGTGGTAAGTGGTGAGAGTAGTGAGGGGCGGTGAGGAGGGGGTGGTAAGTGGTGAGAGTAGTGAGGGAAGTGGGGTGAGGAGGGGGTAAGTGGGGAGTAGTGAGGGAAGCAGGAGGAGGGGGGTGGGTGGTGAGAGTAGGGAGGGGGGGTGGTGAGGGAGGGGGGTAAGTGGTGGAGTAGTGAGGGAAGGGTAAGGAGGGGGGTAAGTGGTGGGGGTGGAGGGAAGTGGTGAGGGAGGGGGTGGTGGTGAGAGTAGTGAGGGAAGTGGTGGGAGGAGGGGGTAAGTGGGGAGTAGTGAGGGGAAGTGGTGAGGAGGGGGTATGGTGAGAGAAAGGAGGGAAGTGGTAAGGAGGGGGTAAGTGGTGGGAGTAGTGAGGGGAGTGGTGAGGAGGGGGTAAGTGGTGAGAGTAGTGAGGAGGGGGTAAGTGGTGAGAGTAGTGAGGGAAGTGGTAAGGAGGGGGCAAGTGGTGAGAGTAGTGAGGGAAGTGGTAAGGAGGCAGGTAAAGGTAAAAAAAAGTGGATTAAGGTGTAATTAGTAACAGGTGCGACATTAGTTCTTCAGATAGAGTAGTGGACCCTTAAGTGGTAAAGACCAGCCCCCTTAAGTGGTACTGGAGAAGTGGATAAGTAGAGGGTCCTCATAAGTGCTTCGGTGTGGTGGTAAAGTAGACCACTTACGTTGCAATGGAGAGAAAACTTTATGTTGCAAGGAATACAATAGCTTTATGTTGCAAGAAAAAAAATCATGTTGCAGGAGTTGTAGAGTTGCCAATATCACAAGAGACTGTGGACCTCTCTGTGTTGCAACAGGTAAATGAATTCCTTGTGTTGCAGAAAGTAATGGATCTCTGTAAAGTTAGGTTAGGTTAGCTTAGATTAGGTTAATTTATAGTACTAAATGACCCAGGTTACATTATTATTATTATTATTATTATTATTATTAGTAGTAGTAGTAGTAGTAGTACAAATTGTCATTATATTTTCACACACTCTGTTTTCTACCAGTTCACCCCGGGGATATACAGCGAGTGGGGTTACTGTGATGCAGGCTCAGCCATCTGTGGTCTCCAGGTGAGTTACAATTATATTTCTCAGTAAAGTCTATTTGTCCAGCCACAACTTGTAAATACTAAAATATAAAGCCGATTGGTTTTAACTAACATGTGTACCGGGCCAGTAGGTAGGTCACGGGGATAATCTGGTTGACCTTATTGTTAAAAGGTCAGAGGTCAGGATTCAGTAGGGGTGTGTCAATGGAAAGTGGATGGTGTTGACTGTGGATATATTTGATGACACACACACACACACACACACACACACACACACACACACACACACACACACACACACACACCCTAAGCCATAGTAAACAAGGCGACACAATTAATAGAAAAGGATTACACAAACACGGTACCCAGAGCAGTGGTGATCTGGTTCAACATACTGTGTGTGTGTGTGTGTGTGTGTGTGTGTGTGTGTGTGTGTGTGTGTGTGTGTGTGTGTGTGTGTGTGTGTGTGTGTGTCGCTGGATATTAAACTTTTGCGTGGTTGTGGTGCTCAATGTTGTGATGTTGTGTGGTTGTGACGCTGGATGTTATAGTGTTACGGTTGTTATTACATGGTTGTGACGCTGGATTTATCGTGTGTTACAGGTGCGTTACGAGGCAGTGTCAATTGGTGATGACTCCGCTACAACAGATCTGATCATGTTCTGTTGTGAGGAGTAACTGATTACCTCCTTCTCCTCCTTCTTCCTCTTCCTCCTACATCATCTGTCTCTTCCTACCTCTTTTCCTCCATCCTTCACTCCCCTCCTGTCTCCTCTTTCTCCTCCTCCTGGACAAGACTACAAAATATCTCGGCTCTCCCCTGACTGCAAAGCCTACAAAATGCTGCTGCCACTACAGTAAGATGGAAGAACCTCCAAGGACCACGAAATAGTTCTACAAAAGTTGCTCCCTACATACCACCACTGACTACTAGATCTTGTTCATTGTTCAATTTTGGTTCAGGGTAAACTTTTAAAAGCGATTCAATATATATTTCTCTCTCTCTCTCTCTCTCTCTCTCTCTCTCTCTCTCTCTCTCTCTCTCTTGCTGTGTGGTCCAGAAATTCGCCCTTTTTTGCATCTTTCTGAACACCTGCAGTAGTACTTTTAATTAACCCAGGTGTAATACTATAACATATCTTTGGAAAAAAAACAAAATATGGAAAGTTTCATCTAATAATGAAACTGATTTTGAGGTCTGTGTTTAAATACCTGAATTATGATACAAGGACTAATTAAGGTGACTTATAAGAATCACCAGGTATATCATCAAAGGTGTGCATCAATTATATAACATCATTTCGTATATATTATAAGACACACTGGATTATGTCACTTTCTACACCCAAATATGACAACTTGAATAGAGACGTCAAGATGAAAACATTACCCAACGTTACTATTTTATCACTTCTCCTTAACCAATAGAAATCGAGGGATATCCCCCAATAGGAAACACGATAAAATAAATTCAAAACACTCATTTCACTCCCTAAATTCAACTGTGAGGGAGAGGGAGAGGGAGAGGGTGAGGGAGAGGGAGAGGGTGAGGGAGAGGGAGAGGGTAAGGGTAACGGAGAGGGTGAGGGAGAGGAAGAGGGAGAGGGTGAGGGAGAGAGAGAGGGAGAGAGGGAGACATGAGGTTGACTCTGTACCTCTAGTTCCTTTGAGTTGCTATCAGACCGTAGTACAATTAAAGGCAAACTGAGATGGTTTAAAAAAATTCTAATCTGGGAACATTTACTGTATGTTTAGTTAAATTTATCTTCCCTTAAACTCTATATTTTTTTAATCTCTATTCACATATATACGTACATACATACATACATACATACATACATACAGTACATACATGATTACATACATACATACATATATACATACAATCATGGACATAAACATACATACACACATACAATCATGGACATAAACATACATACATACAATCATAGACATAAACACACATACACACATACAATCATAAACATACACACATACATACACACAGATACATAACTCAGTATACCCAAATCACAAATGTTATCTCTGAATGATTTTGGTATTATGACACAAGGTAAAAAAAAAACGTATCTCGTTGTTAAGACTATAAGATCCTCTGGTGTTGACATATGTTGTAAGTCACCGGTATGAAAAAAAGAGTTAAATCATCAAAATATAAAATAATAATAATAATAATAATAATAATAATAATAATAATAATAATAATAATAATAATTTGCCTTTTATTTTCCCTGGGTTATTGGACAGACAGACAGACAGACAGACAGACAGACAGACACAGACAAACAGACACACACACTGTCTCTTGATTCTCCTACAGTGAGAAAGCGAGATAACAGATAATGAAGAGATGGTTAGTAGGTTAGACTTGGCATAATGGAGAGAGAGAGAGAGAGAGAGAGAGAGAGAGAGAGATGGAGAGACAGAGAGAGAGATAATATAATAGAGAAAATGAAAGAAAGATAAGAGAAAAAAAACTAGTGAGAACCAGAGAAAGAATGAGAGATGAGATAAAATAAGAGAAAAGAAACGAGAGAGAGAGAGATAAATACAGATAAATACAAATAAAGAGAGAAAAAGAGAGAAGATAAAGAGACAGAGATGTGAGCTAGTAAAAGTGAGAGATAGGTAAGACACACGTTAACGAGAGATAATGTGGGTATAGGAGGAGAATGTGATAAAGATGGGGAATAAGGGAGAATGAGAAAAGATGGAATGTCATAGTAAAATAAAGAAAGATAGACTATGAGAAGAAGGAAAGGTATAGAAAAATGATGATAATTTTAAGAGATGGTGGATTGGTGGATTTACACACACACACACACACTCAAAATACTTTCTCACTCAATCAGACATATTTTATATCTCGCTCGTTCACTCATCGATTACACTACTCTCTCTCTCTCTCTCTCTCTCTCTCTCTCTCTCTCTCTCTCTCTCTCTCTATCTCTCTTTCTCTCTCTCTCCTTACCCAAACAAGAGTTATTAGTTGTTCTTCACATACTCCTGAGCTAAACTGAGACGACCCTTTAAACTGGAGGAATTCCCTTTGATATAGAATTAACTACTAATGTCTCTCAATGACATTTTTTTTGGTGTTTATGGAGGCCTGTGAGAGGGAAAGTGAGAGTGAGTGAGAGGGAGTGAGAGGGAGAGGTTGGACTTGATTGATTGTGCAGTCATTCAATATTGGAAACAGGGAGAGAGGAGGATGGAGAGAGAGCTATAAAGATGGAGTGATGGAAGGAGAAGGAGGAGGAGATAAAGTATTGAGAGGTGAGGGAGAGAAGAAAGGGAGAGAAGGGGATCAAGAGGAGAGAGAGAGAGAGAGAGAGAGAGAGAGAGAGAGAGAGAGAGAGAGAGAGAGAGAGAGAGAGAGAGAGAGAGAGAGAGAGAGAGAGAGAGAGAGAGAGAGAGAGAGAGAGAGAGTTCATCCCAATGCTTATACAACTAGATATGAATTATATAAATCAGTATGTAGTAAAAGCCAGGTATAAACATATGTGTCCTGGGGGTCTGGTGTGCAGGTCGGGGCAACAGGTGTGTGAATACCCAGGTTCAAGGGCCACCACAGGGTTACCTTATCTTACCTGTGGGAATTGTGTGTGTGTGCTGACGATGATGTAAATAATAATGGTAATACCACAAACAGTATTTACATTTCTACTACTACTACTACTACTACTACTACTACTACTGCAACTAACTACTACAACAACTTCTGCAACAACAACAGCTACTACTACTACTACTACTACTAATAATAATAATAATAATAATAACAATATGTATAATCAGTATGTAATGACCATAAAACACATAAATGAATAGTGTCATAGAAAACCTAACCTAACCTAACCTGACTTTACCTAACCTTACTTAATTTAACCTAACCTAATCTAACCTAACCTAACCTGACTTTACCTAACCTGACTTAATCTAACCTAACCTAATATAACCTAACCTAACCTGACTTTACCTAACCTGACTTAATCTAACCTAACCTAACCTAACCGACTTTACCTAACCTTACTTAATCCAATTTTGGTATAATTTGCCTAAGTTATTATAGTAAACGACGACTTAAATGACGAAGAGAAAATCATATACCAATTAATTTTCATTAAGTTGTAACAATAACAATTTTGTTTTTATCACAATTCGGGGGAAAAACAACAGTTGTTTTTGTATAGCTTAATCGGGGATAATCCCTATTTAGCGAGACAAATGTAATGTATGTATGTATGTATGCATGTATGTATGTATGTATGTATGGCGACCTGTAATGGTCAGCATATTCGCCTCGCAAGTGAGCGGACCCGAATTCGATCCCCAGGCAGGGTGAAACTATGGGCAAGTTTACCATTTGCCTCTGTCTACCCAGCAGTAATTGGGAACCTGGATGTTAATCGATTTGCGGATCATATTTTGGGGTAATGGTTAGCCAGTACCATGAGTTGTCTGACTATTCGAGGGGCTTCCAGAATGTATGTATGTATGTATGTATGTATCTAGTTATTTCTATCTCAAGACAAAACAAATGCTTTAAGGTGTGACTGAGAGGGAGAGGCGACGGGTGTGCAGTGGAGGCAGAAAGATGGATCACTCTGGTTGTTTTGTCTTGAAAACTTTACGCCGTTGAAGGAGGAGGAGGAAGAGCAGGAGGAGGAGGTGAAGGAGAAGGGAGGAAAGGGGAGGAAGAGGAGGTAAAAGGAAGAGGAGGAGGAGGAGGAAGAGCAGGAGGAGGAGGTGAAGGAGAAGGGGAGGAAAGGGAGGAAGAGGAGGTAAAGGAAGAGGAGGAGGAGGAGGAAGAGCAGGAGGAGGAGGTGAAGGAGAAGGGAGGAAAAGGGGAGGAAGAGGAGGTAAAGGAAGAGGAGGAGGAGGAGGAAGAGCGAGGAGGAGGTGAAGGAGAAGAGGAGGAAAGGGGAGGAAGAGGGAGGTAAAGGAAGAGGAGGAGGAGGAAGAGCAGGAGGAGGAGGTGAAGAGAAGGAGGAAAGGGGAGGAAGAGGAGGTAAAGGAAGAGGAGAGGAGGAGGAGGAAGAGCAGGAGGAGGTGAAGGAGAAGGGGAGGAAAGGGGAGGAAGAGGAGGTAAAGGAAGAGGAGGAGGAGGAAGAGCAGGAGGAGGAGGTGAAGGAGAGGGGAGGAAAGGGGAGGA